CCTATTTACCCCCTAGTACAGTGGTTCTCAACCTTCCTAATGTCACGACCCTTTAATGCAGTTCCTCATGTTGTGGTGACCCCCAATTTCATTGTTACAAATTGAACATAATTAAAGCATAGTGATTAATCACAAAAACAATATGTAATTATATGTGTGTTTTCCGATGGTCTTAGGCGACCCCTGTGAAAGGGTCGTTCGACCCCCAAAGGGGTCGCGACCCACAGGTTGAGAACCGCTGCCCTAGGATGACTGAGAATCCAGAGCTAATGATTTATCGAAGGTCACACTGTACAGCATCACATTCACTGGCCATCTTCAGACTGGGATTGGAGGTGGAGGACGGATGATGCCCAACTTCCAGGAAAAAGAGCAGTCCTTTCTCTCCTCTTAATTCTATAGATGAAAGTCTTGGAAACTGAGCAAATTCTTTTTACCCTCCATCTTATGGAATCTAAAAGGAAGGAGAAGTGTTCAGAAGCTAGTTCCCCAATAAAACACTAATAGCATAATGAAGCATATAAAAATGGGGAGATAATTAAGCCTTTCTCTCTTAACAGTTTCTCTTAACTTATTTTTAAGTGGATATTTTCCCTTCTCCTCTGTCCTATGAGGTCAACAAGTATGCCCTAAGTATCCACTACATGAGTCCTGGGGTCTTTCCACTGGACATGAGGAAGTGTAAGACTGTTCCTGATTTCTAAAATTTTACAGTCCACCCACAAACTCTCTTTACCTTGTAAGCAAACCAACAAAAGAGGAAGAAGGAAGACTGTTAAGAGTGAAAAGTGTGCATCCTCTCCACTGATTTTCCAGCGTGTGGTAAGGCAGGTCCCAGGAACTTTCTGGGATCTTGGGCCAACAAGAAGCCAGGAAAGAGGTGTGCTCTGTAGAACAGTAGGGTATATGTGGTTGATGAAGTTGTGCCATCTTTGGGTGCCTCACTGAAAGTTGCATTCATCCATTTGAGTATGCTTGTAATGTATGACTCGATAGCCAGAAGCCTGGAGCATTGCAACCGATGTTGCAGCCATCTGAATCTCCATCTATGGTAGGAGTAAGAAAGTTTCTTAACTCCCATTTGTCTGTAAGGCTTCCTCACACAATTTCCTTATACTTGTCTAGATTGATGGGTTTACTAGTACATAATATATGTTTTTTGTAAATGACAAACATCATTGCAACACATAAAATTTTGTTCACTACAATCCAGCCTTGTGAAAGTATTTCTGCAGCACTCAAAAATGCAGAAGTACTAGTAGCCGAACCAGTGTTGCTCAGTGGTTGAGCATCGACCAATGAACCAGAAGGTCAGGGTTCAATTCCTGGTCAGGTCACATGCCTAGGTTGCAGGCTCAATTCCCTATAGGGGTCTGCAGGAGGCAGGTGATGGATGATTCTCATCATTGATGTTTCTATCTTTCCCTCTCCCTTTCTCTCTGAAATCAATAAAAATAGATTTAAATTCTTGTTTAAATGCAGAAATAACATGCTATGGGAAGTAAAGTGAAATAAAGTGTTATGAGATGTAAAAGGAGGTGAAGACTTGCCAAGTTGAGGATCATTTCCCAAATTCCTTTTCAGCTCACCCCAGTTGATGGCTCTGCTTTCCAATCTTTCAAGTTGCACTCATCATTGGGCTATCTTTGCATAGCCCCATCCAGGAAGAAGCTCTGGGATGTGTGGACTGTAAATTTGCCCAAGCAAGTTGGACTATTCACACGGAATAACAAGACGTGAGGACTAGAATGGAAGAGTTGGCACCAGTGGAAAGTCAGGGCCAGCTTCCAAGCCCACACCATGGCTCTCTGAGGAAGGCCGTGGCAGCTGCCCTGGCTCTAGATGGGGAATCCACAATGGGCCGCAGGAAAAAGAAGAGGAAGGAGTCCCGCCCAGAATCTATTATCATCTACCGGTCAGAGAGTGAGAAAGTGGATGAGGAGCCTGGGGAATCAGAAGGTGGAGACCAGCCTAAAGAGGAGGAAGGAGCCGACTTCCTAGACTATCCTGCCGATGATGGTAAGTCTCTCTGGGGCCACTTGCTTAAAGCCATGGGAAGGAAACCAAATGAGGATCCTCCAGAAAACAGACAGGCATTTGATCACTGACCTAGTTCTTCTTGTTGATACATTTCTTCTCACAAAGTTGCATTCTTCATTTAATGAATCGACAATATTGATTGAGTACTTATTATGTTCTCTTCTAGGTAATATGGAGGAGATCTCGCCCTTTTGGAACTTCTAGTGTAATGAAAGAGACTAATTTATACACGAAGTTTAGTAATACAAGCATACTGTGCTAATAGCTTAATACATGTAAGATAACGAAACAATAATAGTTGGCTTTCATAATAATCAGGAAAATGGAAGTTATAACAACAGTGAGTTATAGTATTCCCTCACATTTAGGATGGCACAAAATCGGATAAAATATGATAACATCAATCTGAGGAAGTGTACATATGCTCATACACCTCAAGTGGAAGTGGAATCGCTTTAATCACTTTGTATGGAAAATTGTCAATTTTTATTAAATTTAAAATATGCATTCCTATATCCTGGAAATTCTCAGTATCCACCCCATGCAATTTATGCCCATGTGCATAAGGAGGCATGTGTAAGAATATTTGTTGCTGCTAATGAAGTTGTGGAATGTCTGTATTGAGCATCACTGTGTAGCAACAAATGGATGAGGTAGATCTATTTGTGTAGATGGATTCATCTCTGAACATATACCCACAGTGAACAAGCAACATCCCTGCTCTCATGCAGTTGACCTTCTAATGGAAGGAAGACAGACAGTGAGCAAGTCAGCAAATAAAAGATTATTCAGGTAGTGGTTCAAGTTTCCAAGACAATAAATCATGGTGATGGGAATATGAGTAACTGGGGAGAGAGATTGCATGGATGTGCAAGGGCTCTCTGAGGATGTGAGGTTTGAGCTGATCTGAATGACATGAAGGAACCAGCAATGAAAAGATCTTGGGCAGAGCTTTTAGAGGAGGGAGAACAGCAAAGGCAAAGACCCCAAGGTGGGAACACCATTGCTTGTTTCTGGAATAGAGTATTTTCTGTTAGTGAGTGTAGAGAACAAGGAATGGTGAGAGGTCAGAAAGGTCTGCAGGGTCAGATCACATTGGGCCTTGCAGGTCATAGTAAAGAGTTTAGGATTTATTGTAAGTTCAAGGGGAAGTCGATAAAGGATTTTTTAAAAATATTTTTTTGATGTTTAGAGGAAGGGAGAGCGAGATAGAGCAACATTGATGTGAGAGTGGAACATTGATCAGCTGCCTCTTGCACACCTGTTACCAGAGATTGAGCCCACAACCTGGGCATGTGCCCTGACCAGAAAGGAGTCAAACAGGATGTTGGGGACATGCCAACCTAAAGCTTGTACTGTGCCTGCCTCCTTCATTTGTAGAATACATTTCACATACCGAGGACCACGGACTTCCCTATTTCAGTGTCTTCAACCTCACTTCCAGAGTGGCCCAAGGATGGCTGTTTGGTTGGTGGTGGTGGTGGTGGCAGTGGTGTTGTATGTATGTGTGTGTGGTATGTGTGTGTGTGTGTGTGTGAACAGAACTTAGACACAAGGGCTGGAATGTCCACAGGCTTGTGAGGAGGCCCCCTCTCAGAGAAGCATAGTAGTTGATACTAATAAGCAATATTTTCACAGTACTTGTAAGCTGGAAATAAGAACACTATAAAGTGGTGTCTGTAGTAAGTTCCTCACACTCCTGCAATCACAGAGATTGTGTCAAGATTGAGGCCCAGAAAGTGGAGAAGGAACAAGAAAAACAATTCAGTCCACCATTGAATCACTGTCTCCAGTACCATGACAGATACTATAAAACTGGACACTAGCCCTGGCCGGTATGGCTCAGTTAGTTGGTTGGAGCATTGTCCCGTGCACCGGGAGGTTGCTGGTTTGATTCCCAATTGGGGCACATACATAGACTGTGGGATCCATCCCTGGTCAGGGCACATACGGGAGGCAACTGATTAATGTTTCTCTCCCACATCAATGTTTCTCTCTCTCTTCCTCTTCCTCCCACTCTCTCTAAAATCAATAAAACATTTTTTTTTTAAAGTAGACACTGTTGTCATCAGCCACAGCCTCAGGGGACAACACTGTGATGAAATGTCCACTCTTCTGATCTTGACTTCACCTCTTTTATGCCTTGCAGGTATGTGGGACATGCCTTTGGACAGCCGCTATGTCACATTAACTGGGACCATCACACGAGGGAAGAAAAAGGGCCAGATGGTGGACATCCATGTCACTTTGACAGAAAAGGAGCTGCAGGAATTGACTAAGCCTAAAGAGTCATTGAAAGAAACAACCCCTGAAGGTAGAAAGGTCTGCCAGATGTCGGCAGACCGTGGGCCCCACGTGGTCCTCTGGACACTGGTCTGCCTGCCTGTGGTTTTTATCCTCTCCTTCGTTGTCTCTTTCTACTATGGCACTATCACTTGGTACAACATCTTTCTTGTGTACAATGAGGAGAGGACCTTCTGGCATAAGATCTCATGTTGCCCCTGCCTCATTCTCTTCTACCCAGTGCTCATCATGGCCATGGCCTCTTCCCTGGGCCTCTATGCTGCTGTGGTTCAGCTCTCGTGGTCCTGGGGAGCGTGGTGGCAAGCTGCCCGGGACATGGAGAAAGGCTTCTGCGGCTGGCTCTGCAGCAAGCTGGGTCTGGAGGACTGTTCTCCCTACAGCATTGTGGAGTTGCTTGAATATGATAATATTTCAGGCAATCTCTCCAACAAGGACCCCACCCAGGAAGTAGAAACTTCCACTGTCTAAACTTCGAACACCTTATTTCCTCTTCTGGTCCCTGTAGCCTGTATATCATCTTCCAATTTCCCTCCCCTCACAGTGCTTCCGGAAAAATCTAGCCCACACTGATCTGCCCTACTATTTTGATGATTCTAGGAGAGCAGGGAACAAAAAAGCAATTTATACAAAAGTTGGCCATACAATGGACAAACTCTTTTTCATCCCCTGCCCTAAAATGACCATTCATCTGGGACAAGGAGCTCAGTTTTATGTCAGTTCTGGTGCTTAAAGGTGTTACTGGTGCTTGGAACTCAGGGGACTATGTAAGTAAGTGTGACAGGGAGAATAAGGAAGCTCTGGGGGACCAATTAAATAATAGGGGTTGAGTGAAACATTTAGGAAGCAGGTTTACCACAGTATAGCAGAATGTAAAGATTTGTATGCATCACTTAGAGTTTTATTTAGCTGTATATAATTGATATCCCAAAATATGAGTGGTTTAAACAAGATAGAAGTTTACTTCTTTCTTCTATAGAAGAAGTCGGGAGGCAGATTATCAGGGGACCTGGTAGAGTTACTTGGATCCAGGCTTCTTTTATTCCCCTACCATTGGTGAAATATGACCCTCATAACCTTTATCTTCCACACCCCAGTGCTGACTACATCTGCAGCCATTTCATCCATGTTTCTGGCAGAATAGAGGAAGGGGCAAAGAAAAGTATATTTTCTGTGCTCAAGGAGGCTTCCCAAAGTCTCACTCAATACTTCTTATATCTCATTGGCTAGACCTTCGTCACATGATCGAACAAGCAAAATAGGCTGCAAAATGTAGTCTTTTCGCAGTTATATGCTAGGCTACATATGGGGGTTATGAAAATTTAAGAGGAATAAAGAAGAATGGCTATTTTGATTGGCAAGTAAGAATATCAATAATTATTTAAATATTTTCAGATCCCAAACTGCTAATATAGTTTTATTTATTTATTTATTTATTTAGGCCTAAATCTTAGAGATTTTATATATAGATACTAGCTATATATACTATGTATAAGCTATATATAGATATTAGTATCTTGTACTTTGCAATTAAATGACTGTAATGTCATGTGGTTTCAGGGTTCTTTTTTAGAAGCAAAGAGTAAACAGTTGAGTACAACTGTATAACAGTAGTGTACCTTTTTTCCTGGTAGTGAAGGTGGGACTGGTTGGTAATATTTAATTTACTCTAAAGACTGTGCAGGGAGGAATTGCATCTGTCATTCCCCACTGCCTCCCCCCAACCCCCCAACAGGGATTGATAGCCCTAAGCAGGAAGAAGATAGAGTTATTTTTCTGTTGTTTGGAAAAACCTCACTCAGAGCCTCACTCACTCATACCTTTCTGGAGTTTAACAACAAACACAATCTTTGTTGAGCTGGAAGGCTGTCTTCCTGGTCACCAGGGAGTATAAAGCAGATTAATCTAGATTGATTTTAAACTTGAAACCAAATTCATTCATGAAGGTGTATTTCTAATTTTTTTTAATTGAATCATCACAAATCAAGAAGTTTTTGGAGGTATGGGGCCTTACAAGAATAGCTGGTACTTGTTTCTTATTCATGTCTCAGGAAGAAGTTGAAAGAACTGCTGTGAAGCAAACCAGACTGGTTGGGCATGATCTCCCACAGAAGACCAGGGACATTTGTTTAACGTATGGTGCTGAATCCACCTTCAGAAGATATCCCACAACTATTATTATGATTATTTCATCTTCACCCGAGGATATTTTTATTGACTTTAGAGACAGAAGAAGGCAGAGAGAGAGAGAAACATCAATATGAGAGAAAAACATCCATCTGCCGCCTCTTGTACATGCCCCAACTAGAATTGAACCCACAACCTAGGTATGTGGTCTGACTTGGAATTAAACCTGCAATCTTTTGAACCTCCAACCAACTGAGCCACCCAGTCAGGGCAACACCCACCTTTTAAATAACTATTATTAGTTTGACAAAAACAAAATTCTGTTCAACATTTTTGAAGATAAACTTGGTGCTCATTGGTGCTTTTGTAACCATAATTTAATATCACCAATCTAGTGATTAAAGTTATGTATTCTGTAACAAATCAAAGTATATGTGCTTTCACCTCTGGCCAAGTTCTCATTACACTGGAACAGTCTATTTTGGGTGTAAGGAATGCTAATGCTGCAATAAAACTGAGGATGTCTGCTGGCATACAATGAGGGATGACTCTGACCTTCAGGGATTCCAGCTCCAGAATATTTGCTGATCTTCGATTGTAAAACCAGGATGATGCACCCAGACCATCACTTGACCAGTTTTTAAATTCTTAATGGAATGGACTATGCTGGTCTGCATGTAAAAAACTTTTCAAACTCCTCCCCTTAATCTTTTTGTTCTGTTTTCCTTTCCCTTCTTATAAAAACCCCTTCCTGCACTGAGATGCTACAATTGTTTTTAAGGACAAGAGTCCACCATATTCTCAGGTTGCTGGCACCTGAATAAACCTCTTTCCTTATTTACTGTACCTATCTCGTGAGTATTGGCTTTCATGGTGGCAGGCAACCGAGCTTGTGGGTTGTTTCCTCAGTTTCACTTTTGCAGAGATGTAAACAATTGAAATGAAAACAAAATAAAATATAAATAAAATGTGCTCACTTTGTTTCTGAGTTTCTCCCAAACTGCTTTGAGAGCAACAATTTGCAGAAAAAGAGTAACTATGGTGGCTGTTCTATCTCTCTATATAAAAGCCTAAGTGACTGTTAAGACTGGTTAACAGGTCACTATGACATGCACAGACCACCAGGGGGCAGATACTTGACACAGGAGCTGCCCTGTGGTGGTCAGTATACTCCCACAGCCAACCTCCTGCGGTCCCTCCCCTAGACTGGGAGAGATGGCCCTGATCAGCCCCAATTGCTGGCCAGGACAAGGGACCCTACTCATGCACGTATTCATGCACGGGGCCTCTAGTCTATATATATAAAAAAGTGTAATATGCAAATTGACCTGACAGTGAAACAAGGTTGACTATGATACACACTGACTACCAAGGGGCAGACGCTCAATGCAGGAGCTGCCCCGAGCCCACAGGCTCTGATCGCCCATTGGGGAACAGGGAACTGGGGGTGGGTGGCGGCAGGTGCAGGTGGCCCCAGGGCCCCGATCACCCTGTCAGTCGCCCCACACACACAGAGGGCGACCGGCAACCAGCGGTGGTGGTGGGGGGGGCTAGCTGCTGGTAGCTGGGGAAGATTGGTCCTGATTGCAGGCCAGGCCTAGGGACCCTACCCATGCACAAATTTTGTGCACCAGGCCTCTAGTATCCTATATAATAAAGAGCCAATATGCAAATGGTTGTCACACCCTCACATCATCATGCCCTCATGCCTTCATGCCTTAATTGCTCAGACACTCAACACCGGGGAGAGAGGAATGCGGACCAGCCAGGCACACATGAGCTTGCGAGAGAGGAATGGGGACCAGCCAGGCTGCAGCCTCAAAGAGGGACAAGCTACCTGCCCCATGGTCCTGGGAGCCAGCACCTGTGGCTATGCCCAGGAGAGGGACAAGCTGCCTGCCCCAGGGTCCCGGACACCTGCGGCTGTGGCCCAGGCAAAGCCGGCCCAGGTCCTGGGTGCCTGTGGCCAGCCAGAGGGAGTGAAGCCCAGGTCCTGGGTGCAGGGCGAGGCAGAGGCGGTTAGGGGTGATCAGACAGGCAGAGCTGATTAGGGGCAATTAGGCAGGCAGGCAGAGGGGTTAGGAGCCATCAGACAGGCAAGCAGTTAGGAGCTAGTGGTCCCAGATTGTGAGAGGCAGTCGGGCATCACCTGAGGGGTCCTGGATAGGAGAGGGTACAGGCTGGGCTGAGGGATCCCCCCCTGCCCGTGCATGAATTTTGTGCACTGGGCCTCTAGTATATACAATAATCTTAATCTGAATCCTTATGAATAGTACTCTTTCCTTGTACTGTTACTAGTTGAACGTGGGCTGCCTGTTCCTGTGTCCAATAACGAAAGCAAGGTTGAATCATATAAGGTGTTTATGGAGGAGGCTAGACAACCAAGAAGACAGGGTGCTTACAAGCATTCAAATCCTGTTTTACTGCAAGGTGCAAGGGACAGGATTATAAAGGGAAATAGGGCTAGGGTGAGATTGGAAATGGACATCAGCTATTGTCCTTTAGTCATCAGGCGATGAGATGATGTTGATGAGATGAAGTTTTGACTTCTGGTGTGTCGGTCTGACCATGCTTACCAGTTCTGCTTGCTGGATTCACAGCTGAGTCACCTCCTCAATTGTTTCACACAGGCCTTGAAAAGGAAACTTAAGAAAAACTTAACCCCCTGTTCACATATGAGAAACTTAACCCCATAAGTATATGTGTTCTAAGATTTAAAATAATACAATTATTTTTCAGATTAATTCAGGTGCTCTATCATATTATAAGTCCCCCTATCAGTACCACTAATTTATGGAGATTTTGTTTAGGTGGACTGTTTCCACAGACACATATTTACTTAAGCATATATTAGGAAGTTGCAAACACTTTTGCCACACTTTTCTGGGGTTAGGGAAATCAATGGCCAAGGCCAAAAATAGTTATAATTAGGGCAAGGGTAAGGAGACCATAGTTTAATGGAGGAGAGTGGAGTGAGGATGAGGCACAAGGGACACACCTAGATAAAGCTGACATGGCCCCCACCCTAGTTGGGATTGCCACCTAGTGGAAGAAATAGGCTTGTAAATGAAAATCATTTCAAAAGGGCTCTAAGAAGGTACCTAAATGCCTACCTAAACTATTAGAAGGAAAACTTAACCAAATTGGGAGACATGGCTTATGAGGGGCACCCAAATAACATTGTCATTCTCCTTGCATCCATTTTCCTCATTTGTGACTGTAGCTCTCATGCATCTCTCTTCAAAAACGTCCTTTTTCCCTCTACCAGCCATAGCCCATCAACCTCTTGTCCTCCCTCTTTCCACCCAATTACATAGCATACAAATCTAAACAGATTATGTATATAATTACATGAATAATATCTGCCTCTTCGCCCTTGTTAAGGGAGGCCTTTTGCCAGTGAAAGCAGTGCTTAACGCCCATATCCATTCTCAGCACCACAACTGCCTCGCCGCCTGGAAGTGGGAGATTCTAAAGACGTTTCTAAGGGTGGCGAAGATGCAAATAAACACAGGTACTAGAATCTCTGATTCCTCCCAGGAAGCAAATCTGTACTGGAAGGTGTGTGTGGGTGTGAGGTAGGGGAAGGGAGAGAGAAAAGAGAAAGGAAGGAGAGAGAAGGAGACAAACAGAAAGGAGAGACTATAGAGAAAATAAAATTATGGACATAAAGCATGCACATTTCCTCCACCGTGGTGGGTCTCCAGTCATTCTACTTATGGGTCATATAAAAAGTTTAAAAAATAAAATTTGAGTTTTCAAAGAACTCCTTGAGTTTGAATAAATGAATCTTTCGGATAAGTGGTTTGTATTTAGACACTTGGGCAGGTAACTCAACGACCGCAAGCGCCTCCGCACCAGGGCGGCACCCAGGGAATCTGCGCATGCTCAGAGGTCGGCGCACAGCGTCCCCGCCCCTCCCAGGCT